TACTATTTCATAGTACTTGTGTGAAAGAAGAAGTGAAATATAAAAACATTTCATGGATATGTTTATAACCTCAAATATATTTACTATAGAGTATTAACTCTAGATAAGATATTATATTTAAATAATTAGGTATCTATCGGCCGTTTATTCCGAAAAATCATCAAGTAACCTTTTAGAAAATTAAATTAGTGAATAATTTGATGAATTTTCCCTTTGTGAAATCCCAACATTATCCACTTACAATTAGTGTAGACAACTTTTGACCTATCCATGGCAAGGCAATGAAAATCTCGTAATTTTGTTTTAGTAAACATTACAATGGAAAATAACAGTTTAATAACTAACAGTTAGTGTATATATATATATATATATATATATATATAAATATATATATATACGGCTGAACTTCATGCCGCAAACTGGAAAGCAGTAGCCCAGGATAGGCAGAGGTGGAGAAGGCTGGTTCAGGCGGCCAAAGATCTACAAGGTCTGTAGAGCCAACCGAAAAAAAAAAAATAACATAATATATATATATATATATATATATATATATCGTCTACTTTATGGTGGTGTACTTAAAATTTAATTATCTTGAACATTTTTGAGCAATTCCTTCTTATTCAATAAAAAGAAGTGACCATCTTAAGAAAAACAGAAACTTGATCTGAACTCCTTTTCCTTTCGGCCCATGCATCAAATTAACTTTTTTGTTGGAAATTTTGTTTAGAATCACCCCCCCCCCACTCCCACAGACTTTGACCATTAAGAACTGAGACACCCTGTAAATACATATCGAACATTCATACACATAACATGCGAATTCACACGGTTACATTAGTAAATAATCTCCTTCTATGAACGGCTACAATGCAAGAAAAAAAAAACTTCACAATATGCTCCTAAAAAATATTGACATTAGTTATAAAATTAATATATGACCCATCGTCGTGAGACCTCATAAATTATAATTTCAAATACAAACAGATTTATAATTGCTTAAAATAAAAAATAATCACCGAACATAAAAAATATATACATTTTTATTTTTTTTATTTTTATAATGTTTCCTTGAAATTTATTGCCTGGATACAGAAGGCTCATCAAGATTCATTGACGTCTTGGCGTTCAATGCGACTGAAAAGGAGTCACTCATAGTGGATCCCGCGATCAGATTTGAAACCAGCGATCAGGATCAGATACAGGCAGAGAAAGAGGAAACTTATACCAAATGCATAGCTTACCTGAAGGAAAAGTACAGAGATGAATTCGGCGAGAGAGAATACTAAGTTAAAGGACTATGGTTCGGAAGCAGGGAAAGCATTCCTCTTAATACAAGTAATTTCTTGCAGAGGCTCGGTGTTGGAAGGGAGCAGATGCAGACTATGACATAAACAATTATTTCGGACTCGTTAGGAATCATCCATCACCACATATATTGATCTAGGCCAGCGCTTATTTGATTCTAAAAACCATTCTTGGTATATCTGATATGTATTCCAATGGTCAGACCTAAATCTCTCTTATATATTTCTTTTAGTATTATCTATTGATTGATGAGTATTCTGTGTTATTTAGCAACTCATCATAATTGAGCAGCCGTCCAATGTTGTTGTATTTGTCTGTAATAATATATATTTATTGAGCAATATTACATTTTGTCACAACTACACTAGTAAAAGTGGAAAAGGAGTTCATTCACACTCCATGTATAATAAATAAAACTAAATTAATAAAAAAAAAAATAAAATAATAATAATTGTAAAAATAAATAGATACATATAAACAAAAATAAACTTGAAGTAATGAAGATAGGAACGTAAAGAAGATGAGCTTTTCCCCCGACATGTGGAAGGAAAAATAGAGCTCTAGGAGATCTCAGCCGCGTCACTGGTATCAATGCAAATATGTCTTTTTTATTTTATTGTCCTAAGAAATAACCTGAAAGATTTATCAATTATTTACTATAAAGATTTAAGGGATTGGGCAACATTATGTTGCTATAATAAATTAATTACAATTTTAAACAAACATAATAATTATTATTTATTTAGCTAAATTATTATTTTTAATGAAACTAGAAATTATCTTAAATAATACATTATTCTTAATCTCTATAAATATAATAATGACATGTCGTTGTTGTTTGTTGGGGTTTTTAGGCGTAAAACATAGATGTCATCAACTCCTGCGTTTAATTTTGTTTATCGCTGAACCAGATTAAAATTTTATTTAACGAATTGTTTAGTTTAACTGTACTGTGCATTTGTCATTTTTAAGAATGTTTGATATTGGGTTAGTCTGAAATCAATTAAATTCGAGATATAAAAAGAACATTGTTGAAATATGTGGCTAACTGTAAGTGTACTATTACAGTGTTAGCATTTTGGTGGTGGCTGTTTACTAATGAGATGTGAATGGGTTAGATTGGTATGGCCTATTCTCAGTCTGGTTAAGACAACCTCTTCTCTGCGGATAGGACGGTTTGATGTTGACCAAGACTTGACTGTTTTTAAAAATATATTTTAGTTTGCTTGACGGACTCTCACTACGCACAGATTGCCAGTTTCCAAATATTTCTTGTTTGAGTGGAAGACTTATATCTTGTAGTGTTAAAAAGGCAGTGCCCCGTCCTGGAAGAGTAAGTGCTTGCTTGGCCGCTACATCTGCAAGCTCATTACCAATAATATTTGACTCGGCACCTAGACGAGATATAACACTTTTCCTAATGTTTCGAGCATGTTTAGATATGTATGCAATTTTTTGAATATCTGAGTGTTTCGAATACATTTTATCCATACGCTTTAAGGAACTAAACGAAACCGTTATTATTGCAATGGTTTTAGAGGTTATTGACGTGGGAAAGGCTGAGGCTATTTCATGGAGTTCAGCTGTATATACACTACATAATCTATAAAGTTTTATTTTGTGGGTGGGTTCTATGAGTAACAAAAGCTGTAGATTCGTCAGGTTTGGACCCATCAGTAAAGATTAAAAAAAGTTCCTGTAATTTTTTAATGAGATGTGAAAATTAGGTTTTGTAATCAGTAGGTGAAGTTTGGTTTTTAGGTAATTTGGTTAGGTTTAGGATTGTTTTTGGCGGTTTGTTTATCCATGGCGGGTTATGGATTTCTTGGTTGATCAAGGGTGTTTCTTTGAGGAACGTTGTAGCTGAATTAAGCCTCTCTGATAAAGGAAGTGTAGAGTTTGTTTTTCAAAAGCCATGGAAAATTTTGGTTTGAAAATATATCTGTGTGTAGGATGTTCGGTTTGGGAAAGTATTAAAATGTAATTGACTGCCAATTTTTTTTCTTCTAAATAAAATATTCGGTACTCCTGCCTCAGAGCACAGACTGAGAACGGAGTGGTCCAAAACACGGCAGTTGCAATCCGAATCCCGGTATGATGCACAGCATCCAGTTTACTTAGGACCCGGTAACGGGCTGAACCGTAGACAAAACGTCCATAATCCATTTATGGGCATACCAAGACATATAAAACTTTAAACATATGTGATAAAGTTTTAGTAGTGTGGATCTGTCAGAGCCCCAAGAAGTAACATTCAGAAATTTTAGTATATTCAGTTTTTTTGCTGTGTTTGATATAAGTGTCATAATGTGTGATTCTCATGTCAGTTTTAGATCAAATATCATACTCAAAAATTTATGTTTATTAGTGTAAGGTATAAAGGAAAAGGAATCACCTAGGTAGTGTTCAGCAGAGGGAGGAGTGCTTCTCTTTCTGCTGAAATGTAGACATTTTGTTTTTTCGGCAAAGAACTGGAGACCTATGAAAAGAGCCCAGTTGTTTATTCTGTTAGTGTGGCATCCTGTAGTTTACGTTCTATGATGCAAATGTTTTCAGAACGACAGATAATGGCTAAATCATCCGCAAATAATAGAGTCTTGACAACACTTGGCATATTGAGTCCCAGGTCGTTTATTGCCAAGGAGAAAAGAGTTGGTCTCTAAGGACACAACCCTGTCGAAAAGCAATGATCTGATCACGGTCCTCAGATAATTCGCAACCTATATTAAGTTTGAGTACATATCAAACATCCTTAAAAATTATGAAGACACAATACAGTTACTATTGATTTTTTTTTTATTAAACAATTTGGTTAACAAAATTTAAAACTTAAAATTTAAATCTAGTTCAGCCATAAACAAAATTAAAGGCAGGCGTTGATGACTTTGATGTTTTAAGCCCAACAAACAAAAACAACGACATGCCATTATTATATTTATAGGGATTAATAATAGTGTATTATGTAAGATAATTTCTACTTTCCTTAATAATAATAATTTAGCTAAATAAATAATTATTATTATGTTTATTTTATCTCTAATGGTCTATATCTCGAATTTAACTATTTTCAAACATCAAAATTCAATTCAACATCAGAATTTAATATCCATAAAAATGACGATTTAGTGTCATTATATTGCAGTTTATTATTTTTATTTATTGTGCATAGTATGAATGAGCTACTGTGTATCACTATTACTATTGTCCTTGAATGTGACAGATTGTAATATATCTCAATAATAATAAAAAAATAACATAAATAAATAAAAAAAAAGAAGACACAGTACAGCTCGCATCGAATTTTTTAAATTATAAAAAAAAATTAATCTAGCTAAGGGATAAACAAAATTAAACGCAGGCGTTGATGTTTTACGCCTAAAAATCCCAACAAACAACAACAACAATGGTGATATAGAGATAACAATTGATTTATTATTAACGTGCCTATTAATGTTATAGATGTCATTCTTGATTTGAAAATGGGGGTTATTTCCCGAAAAGTTGACAAAATGAAATAAAGTTTTTGTAAAGTAAAAAATAAAATAAAATAAAAATAAATGAGTTATTAAAATAGATAAAGGTTATTGAAGGTATTTCTCTAAATAATAAACCTAGATTGAAAGATTTATATTCTGCTTGAATTTTAATGTTGGGATACAACCAATTATAATTTTCTTTTTTTGTTTTTTTTTCAGGCAGTGAGAATCGGCCTCGGGGAAGGTTTCAAAAAATTCGCCCCGCGTTTGCTGAGCACACGGTTCCCTGGTTGCGAGGGCTTCCCCCTGATGAGTGATGATTATTGGGCCTGCTCTGCTCGTCACCTCACTACCAACCTCCACCATCAGGTCGGCACCTGCAAGATGGGGCCTCCCTCAGATCCTCATGCCGTCGTCAGTCCTCAGCTCAAAGTCTACGGAGTGCTCGGCCTAAGGGTAGTCGACGCCTCTATCATCCCACGCATACCCGCTGCTCACCCTAATGCCCTAGTCCTCATGATTGGTGAAAAAGCTGCGGATATGATAAAAGCTGAGTGGGAAAGCAATCTTACCAAAAGAGACATTTCGCGAAAAGTTTAAGGAAACGAGCTCCTTGGGATACTAAGCCCAATTTCACGAAGAACAAATAAATTGGTTTCTGTGATAGTTATATTTTTGATAAAATAAGGTACACAAATCTACGCAACAATAAGAATTCACTGAAATAATACCTTCTAAAATCTAACGTGACCTTGAGAAGGATTACAAACAAATTTATCATTTATTTTTTATGTAAATTCAATAAACTGAGATGTCCACCTGTATATATTTTTATTATCCCCTTGCTACGGGTTTTGGTCTTTAAACAGACTTTCATCAGGCTAACTTCTGATGTTCTTCAATAGAGTCTGCTTGTCAGATAAGGACAATGCGTCAGTCCTCATCAGGACAAGCAAGAGAGACGGACCATTATAAGTAGTGTTGCCCAAAATCGGTCTTGGACAACACCGCCTATCTGTTGCAAGACCAAGACTAAGACTGGTAAAAAAAATCAATTTTTTCAATTAAAATTGAGGCGAAACAGTTACTAATACTTGACAATTTTAGTTACTATATGTAAAGAGTTGGTGAAACCAATATACTTTTGCATTTGACTCTTCTAATAATTTTTCATTCAAACTTAGTTATGTTTCTCATATCCACATCCACATCCACACATTCCACACATATTTTATTACAGTAAGGCTCGAAACCGGTTTTGTACCAAATATAAGCTCCTGTCAGGCTCAAATACCATGAATGGGGTACCGTTGGATTCAGAATTTCACGGGGGCTTAGCGAATCGTATTCTCCAATTTTGTTTTTCTTTCTAAAATAAATAAAGTCGATACAGACATTTTGCTAGGCTTCAATACTGGAACGGTGGTAAGTCTGTAGATCGATACGGGATAAATTGGATCTTGAAGATTTTGATGCGTACAGTAAGACCCGGATAGTTTCTTACTATTTTCGAGATAACGCAAGACATAGGATTCGTATCCACACAACCTTACATTAATTGTAGTACTGTCATTGAATGCATGTCTCATTTCGTCGACTTGAGGTCTCTATGATCGAGAGAGGAGTTTATATTATTTATCGATGGTGTTTTTGATCGGCAAGCCATATCATCGTTAATTTTTCACCAAATCTCAAGATTGTCACCAATTTCGAAGGCTTCCTTCTCCTTCAGGCGGGCAAAATAGTTCAATCACCCAGAAAATTCAGGCAAACAAGTTATGAAAGAAAACAAACTTTATTTGCGAATAACTAAAAAATTACACACTTTCCCCTGGGGTATGGCCATAATTATATAAAATATTACTAAATTCTCTACAAAAGGAAAAAAAAAATTGAAATCGGACAATATTTAGCAAATATACAGTTTACTGAAATTTGTATACATGTTGATTCCAAACAGAAATGAAGATTTAAATTAATTTTTGTTTTCTTTGTCAATTATTTTTATTGATATAGGAACATTTGATGTCTTTATCTTTTGATATGTTGCATCATTTTATTTTATTATTAATACGGCATTTGATAACAATATGCTGTGGGAATTTTTCGCACGGGCCTGCTAGTCTAAAAAATTACTGCAATATCATTCTAGTAATAAGCCAATAGGTAACTGCAAGACATTTACGAGTCTTGCATAAGACCCAAGACCTAGACCAAGACTCGTCTAGCAACACTAATTATAAGTTAGCCTGATGAAGGACTGATTAAAGATTGAAACCGATAGCAGGGAGAGAATAACAATATATACAGAAGGACAACATCTCTTTTCATCGGATTTGTATTTAACTCCAGAGACATTGAACTTCAATTCAAAAAATATTTTTTATTTCTTGTAAAAAAGTACCATTACTACCTTCGAAGGGTCTATGCACTAAATGTTACTCAAGCTGATGGTCAAAGCTCTTTATTTTATGAACGTTGCGTGTTTTACCTTCCAGCTAATGTGTTTTAGCTTATATTATATAAATCATCCTATTTTTTTATTCCTCTTTTTATCAATTTATTTATTTTTTTTACTTTTGCCACCTACCTTCGTTGAATTATTTAAAATTCATGGTTTTGTGATTTAAAAATACCAACGGTGGTAAAACGCATTTAAAATAGCGATCCGTTGAAACTTTTTATTTTATAATTGTGGGTTGATGGTTGACTGTCTTGAATAATGAAGAGAAACATGTTTGGTGTGATCAGTCAGAAATAAAAAGGCAAAAATAAATAATAATATTTATTTTAACATTTGCAGAAGTTTCGACCTGAAGTTGAGGCCTTCATCAGGGCTGTTCGAAGAGATAGTTCGAATAGAGTCACTCTATTCTTTATTCTCTATTCACTCTATTATATATTATATATTAATAAATATTATTATTTATTTTTGCCTTTTTATTTCTGACTGATCACTCCAACCATCTTTCTTTTTATTTTATAAATTTAAAAATATTAATATTATAAATACATATATTACTTCACTCGCAGACGAATTAAGACTTTTTTGATATTGTCGAAGATTTTTCTTTTCTTTTTACTATTAAACTAAAAATAAGTAAAACCTTTTTGGAGTTAATTATACATAATACTAGCATAATTTATAGTGAGCGAAAAAGAGTAAGACTCTCTCTTACGGTCATCTCCGTATATTACTTGGCTTGTTTCGGCATTCCGTATACTGTGGCATCGGTGTGATCTTAGCCCACATTACTTCTGAAAGATTCTTAATAGGTGCTTTAAACAGGGCTATATTTAAACAGCGTGTCCCGTAAGTAATATTTAAAAAGTTGATAGTGTACATCAAGATCTACAAAAAAGTATTAAAAGTATTTCCAGGAGAAAAGTAGGAAATTTAAGATTTGTGTTTTTTTTTTTTTTTTTATGCGAGTCTGTTTTTTTTGCTGAATAGGAAGAGATAACATAAAACACATTTTATTTAAGTAACTAAACATTGCTCCATACCAAACTCGACAAAATATACTTTAAACTAAAGTAGAGTTTGTCATTGTTAAAACTATTTAAATAGGACTATTGGGCGTACAAACACAGCTAAGTTCCGGTTAAAAAAAGTCATAAATTATTTGTGATTTTTTTTTATATCACCCTTTAACCGTCCAACATTTACCTCACTTTTACAAAAACTTCTTCCTTTATTAAGCTCTAAGTTCGTATTATTTAAGTTGCGGCGTATAAAGAAAAATTTTGAAAGTCACCTCAAGTTGTGTATAGAAATGATGTGATTCCCTATCCAGTCAACTTAAATACCCGTGTTTTCTGCAAAAGTGACTGCAATCAACTCTTACAAAGCTTTTATTTTTTGTTTTCCGTGATATGGGATGTATTATAATAAACATATTTGTTTACATTAATTTCCTTTTTTTATATCAAAAATTAAACTGTATCCAATATCTGCAAGTAAATTTGTTTTGAAGTTGTTTTTGTTTGAAATTTAACCTAACTTAAACTGTCAACAACTTCTAAGCGTAAGACTACTTTAATTTTACCATTATGATTTTTAGATAGGTGTGTAACCTTACTCAAAGGTTGTGACAGAACAATGAGTACAGGAGTTGAGTGGTTTGCCTGTTTTCAAATTGTGTGTACCATAGGTTTAAAAAGGAAAATGTAAAAAAATAAAAAAGTGAAGTGTTGTATTTTCCAATATACAATAGTTATGTAAATAATTATTTTGTATTCCTTTATGTCCAGTTCTCATAAAGACATTATTTTTTAAATATTATTAATTAAAATTAACATATTTTGAAGATATACTTTTATTGTCTTGGATTTGATATTTCATTTGGTTTAAATGAATGGAATATAGGTATTCTATAGAAGGTAAGACATAATGAAATATATAAAACAATACAAAAAAACAATAATAAAAGAAGATAATGGACAGTGTGACAATACATAGAAATGTTCATATGCATTACAAATAAATTGTACCAGCATTTATAAGTGTACAGAAACTTTAAAAATTGTATGGCATATACAGTACTTGATTCAACAAAATATAGTTATTAAGTAACGGTAACACAGCAGTGAAATAAAATATTAATTTATATAAGCCAATACATATTTAATACTCTCTTTTTTATTTAGAGGGAAAAGTGAGAATTAATTATATTTTTAAGCAACTTCCTCAACACACACATACTTTTTCAAACCAAAATTTTCCGAATCCCATTTAAAAAAAGTTAATAAATAAATACACACAAATATATATAAATCAGTCAAGAAATACATAAATTGGCTAAACCAGAAATTCACGGATACTCAAACCGCCAAAATCAATGTACATCTAAATCGATTAACCAAAAATCTCACTTTTTTTTTTTAATTTATTTTAAATGATATTTACAACTGTATACAAAAAAATACATCTAGTAAATTTGCACATTGGTATTGCACATGGAACACATGTTGAGAAACTACCCATTGGTAGCACTCTAATAATATGTCTATATTAGAAGATCACGTGGCCATCTTCTTTTCAGACGCCTCGGAGGGTTATCAGGAATCGAATACGAAGCAAGGTTAGAGACAAGAGGGTTGGGATGGTTATGAAGTTTATTATGGAAGGACAGATATCTGGATTGGGCCAAATCTGATACATAAGGAACATTAAGGTCATTATGGATAATTTTATTTGTAACAAAGTAAGGAGCATTGAGGATTTTACGAAGGATTTTGGATTGCAAGGACTGTATGCGAGAGGAATTTGAAGGCTTGGTGGAGCCCCATAGCTCAACCCCGTAAGTCCAAATAGGCCTTATTATAGTCATGTAAATCAGTCTTTTATAATTGATTGGAAGGTTAGAGCGTTTGTGCAGTAAGTGTTGAAGTAGTCGGAAACGTCGAGCGGTTTCTTGTCGTTTCAGTCTGGTATGAGGATTCCAAGTTAGACGTTTGTCCAGATGGAGTCCTAGGTAACGGATTTGTTTAACAGGAATAAGTGAGGTGTTGTTAAAGGATACTGAAGGACAGGAAGTCATTGGTTTACGACGAAGGGTGAAGATAATTTGATGGGATTTATTGGAATTTATTTTAATTCTCCAGTTCTGACACCATTCTTCAAGGTTTGTGATGTGAGATTGAAGGGTTTGGGATGCAATAGATGGGTCGTTATTGACTGATAGGATACATGTGTCATCAGCATATGTGGTGATGACAGTGTTGGGATGGGTTGGGATGTCAGCTGTATAAACTGTGTAAAGGATAGGACCTAGGATACTACTTTGAGGAACACCTGCAGACTGGGAAAAACGGGATGTATATACATTGTTGTGATTTACTTTAAAGTATCTATCAGTAAGGTAGGAACGGATAATGAGGAAGTAGGTAGATGGTAAGAATTTTCGGAGTTTGTACAGCAGTCCCGGGTGCCAAACTCTCCCAAACGCCTGTTCAACATCGAGAAAGGCTCCCGTACAGTAC